TAATAAATCTATCAAATATAACAAATTTAATAAAGTTAATAAAGTTAACAAATATAATAAATATGATAAATATAGATTATCGGTCAAATATGACCAATCTGTCATATTTGTCAACTAAATCAGACTATCACTGCAGTTACAGATCACGGCTTCAGCGATTAGATAAGAGTTTGTGTTCATAAATATTATATATGGTTTTTTAAATATGTAAGCACATGGAGGGAATATGCTTTTGGTATTGACACGTTATCTGTTATTTAAAATGTGATTCTTTTGATATTATAACATTGGCAATAATTTTACTAGTAATTTTTTCACACTTTCGAAGATTTCTTTTCCTGTTCCAACAGTTTGGAATCATATTTATGTGATTTGATATTAAATATTTCATATCATAATTTTATTAATTTTATATCAACATCCTTCAGAATTATATTAACTAGCAATAAAAACTGCTATGTGATTATAGCTATGGACTACCTGACAAAGTGGCCAGAAGCCAAACCATTGAAGCAAGTTAAAGCAATTGATGTTGCAAAATTTTTGTTCAAAGAGATCATATGCAGCACAACACACCAGAAATCATTCTTTAGTTTACAAGATAGTGTTAATACACTAGAACAGTGAAGGGAATTTATTCTTCTAATAGTATAAGAGCGCATCACTGCACTAGGTGGTGTTGAGGATTTATATAAGAAAATTAATCATCTTTCTTGGATTTATTCCATTTGATAGAAATTTGATATGCATATTGCAATAGTTGTAGATGTTTTAAATTAAAATCATTTAAAGAACATTAATCATTTTCTTGGATTGATATCATTTGATAAAAATTTATTTCTGAATTTGAAATGGCATTCAGAGTTTGATAATAATGGAGCTAATTTGATATAAGCAATAGTTGGAATTGTTATATAATGCTTTAGAAAGATGTAAAAATCTTTAGTTCTTGGGTTTTATATAGAGGAAGTGATTAGGTGTATAAGTGGAAGCTGACCTACAATGTAACCAGTTATTTTATATAAGAAAAGAGATTATGTTTATTTATACAAAAAGATTTTAAGGTGTATTCATGATGTTATATTATAAATATATTTAAATCAAAAATTTAAACTGTAGAAATGTTATAATCAAAAGTAATTTAAGAATATAGGAAGAAATATGAAATAATTTACTAATAAAACAATAAAAGGGAAGAAAAACACATTATTTTCATCTCTCAGACAAATTCTAAAACTTAAAGATCTTTGGCAAGACTTA